GGGGGGGGGGAGGCCGAGCGGTCACCTTACAAAGGATGGAGACTGTGCAGCAGCAACCGCCCGATGTCCCTTCAAAACAGCAAAGCAGAAACTGAGAGGACCACGAAGGGAAAGTCCGTTCCCAGAGCGAGTGATCAATAAGGACTCTGAGGATTTACTTGGCGGAATTTACAAGCGTGATCCAATACGCGTATGTAGTTTGGGGTCTCTTTAAATACCCGTTGATCATGCGCGGCACCTGAGTCCGTGTGAGGACCACAAAGGATGATCCCATCCAGGCCAAATTCCATGACCCCTAATGCAGTAAAATTAGATAAAGTGAAATACGTCCACCTGGAAATTCCAAATACTCCAGAATTGGTTTAAAGAAAAATGGAAATATGAACTCCCTAGACCAGGGTGACCATGACTGCACTGAACATCAAAACCCCCAGGATGAGGCCAGGGTGGACAGAAGCTGTGGCTTGAGTAGAAAACACAACAGGCCAAGATAAATGGCTAGCTGTCACCTCAGAGACCTCAAAGGAGGGTGTTAAGCAAAGATTAAAAAACACATTGATGGGACAGAAAGCCAATAAATAGTAAAGTTTATCACAATGCCAGAAACCCCACGCTTGTACCATTTTACACTGGAGCAGCTTTTTCGAAAAGCCAAAATATACAAGTCTTGATTAAAAAAAAAAGGCACAAGGGGCTTTTCAGGGCGACAACCTGCCCACGCTGACCCAAGAGAAAGGGACGCTTTCCTACTGTACACGGGAGAAAATTGGGACACGTGTGCCATTACAGAGAGTCCCGGCCCTTCTGAGTTGTGAAGGTTTCAGTTTTTTCAGATGAATTCGGTCCACGTTAAAAACCGACGTGCAGCTAGATAGGCCGGGGGAACCGGGAAAAGCCCCGGCTGGGAATCCTCACTCAACCCGCAGGGTGACGCTGGCTTTCAGACCGCCTTCCTGGGCAGGAGCTTCATCAGGACAGCCTTCTGCTTCCTTTCAACCAAATTACTTCATAAATGAAGCCGGTCTGCAGTTAGCAGATGAAGGATTTTATTTACTCCTCGTGTCATGTGCTGCTCTGACCCCCTAGTGACCTCGCTTTATAAGGTTTTCATCTTTCATAGCCTTAATGTAACTGGACCACTGGGTAAAAGACATTTTTCTTCTAAGAAGCAGGCCCTTCCAATCCGATTTTTACCTCTCATTTTGCAGACGCAGTCACCCTTCCTAGCTTCGCAGCCGTGAAAGGTAGTTGAAGAGTTGCAAAGAAATCAGACCCAGAAAAATATACCAAAACTAAAAATAGTTCTAAACTCTTGTCATTCGTGGCCAAAAGCTGGTCCAGCGTAAAATGGCACCACCACAGGGGTTTTCTTACCTCCCCAGCCTGTTTATAACCTCTCCCCTTACGGAGAAGGGCCTGTTTTTTGCGGAGGAGGGTTTATCAGATCCAGACTCCGATCCCCAGGCACGGCAACCTGTGTTTGCTGCTACAAACTTTACATCCTGGAACGTGGGGAAGGGACCGAATTCCTCCATAAATTCACATTTACCCAGTGACTTAAAACGCCTTGGCCCGTATCCCCTCACCCCTTCTGCTCCGCCCACCTTGCCTGGATCCCTGTTGGCTCTTTTGAGGAAGCTTCTTTGCAGGTTCTGAGTTCGCTGGTGGATCATCTCCTTTCCTTCCTCCGTAGCTCTTCTCCTCAGACTCTACCCCCTCCGGCTCCCCCGAAGACAGAAGCAGCTCCTGTACCACCTGGGGAGCCAGAGGGCCCCACACCAGGGCTCTTGTGTCCTAGAACGTCGCCTGCCTTTTGCTTTCTTTTATCAACTGTCTGTCCCAATATTAAATTTTTGAAATTTGTTTCTTGCTCAAATGACTTGGCAAGGCCCCCGCCCCGGCCAGCCAACCGTGGCACCTGCTCTCCCCGACGCCCGGCGCGCTCCGCCAGCAGGGCAGCCTGGTGTCGCAGGCCATGGGAGCGCGACCACCACTCACAGGGGTTCCCAGGCCAGGATCCAAGAAACCCACAAGATGAGGTGTGAAACCGGACACAAGCGTTAGGCAGGTTGGCTTTCGTCAGGTCGTGTAAGGGGACTGCCGAGAATCACATCTCGGCCACTGGATTGCGCCTTTTAAGCCAAGCCACGTGCTGCCTTCGAGCTGCCATTGCGCAGCCAGTGACTTGTGTTTAAAAGCTACCCCGGGGGTAGCATCACCACCCCCAGGAGGCACAACGCTCTCCCTGGCTGATAACTTCCCCAAGATGGGGATTTGGGTCTGTTGGGAAAGGAACGTCTGATGGGGCGGCTCAGTCAGTTGGGCGTCCGACTTCAGCTCGGGTCAAGATCTCGCCGTTTGTGGGTTTGAGCCCCGCGTCAGGCTCCGTGCTGACGGCTCAGAGCCTGGAGCTGCTTCGGATCCTGTGTCTCCCTCCCTCTCTCTACCCCTCCCCTACTCAAGCATAAACAACAAATTTTGTTTTTAAACTAGAGGCCCAGCACTTAGGGGATGGCATGCCGCTCTGCGTTTGAATGACAAGCACCAGCTTACTGCAGACAGACTCTGCTCACTGAGGAGGCGAAGTGGCTTCCCCTCATGAGGGCACAGCCTTCTCCTTAGAACCTCCTGGTGGCTTGCCATTACCGGCAGGTCCGTGACCACGGGCTAGACAGGTGCTGTCTCGCCCCCCGACTCGGGGCCTCTGCTTTGGGCAGCCGCTGCGGCGGCCAGGAGCTTATGATGCCAGCTGGGCCGTGGCGCCGTGAGCCACGCAGACCTGCCCGCCTCGCCCTCGAGCCAGGCCAGACGGTTACCTGGCTGCTGCAGCGGGCCCCGCCGGTGGCGGTCTGGACAGGGCCGCCTCCGATGTGCGGCGGCAGGTTCCCTCTCGCTGGGCTGCAGCGGCCCCGGGCAGGGCAGGCGTTCGGCCTCCGACCTTCGCCGTGGGTTTCCAGCCGCAGGTTTGCACACCGGCTCAGCGCCAGGGCCCGCTTCTTCCCTAGGAAGGGCGGGAACGCTCCCAGCTCCCCGCAGCCTCAAGAGCTGAGCCCGTCACATCTTCCCTTCCCGTGCCCACTGGCAGGACGGTCCCTGTCCCTCGAAGACCGAGGGGACCGACGCTGCTGCTCAACATATCCCTCACCCTGACTGCTGCTCGGGGCTCTGGGGCTGAACGTGGAGCCTGGTCCCTTGCTGACTTGGTTGGATTAGAAGGCTCGGCAGCCACCACGGGCCAAGTTCATCCACCGCCGAACACCCCGCTGGCACTTGCCTCCTGATTCCGGAAAGGCCCAGAGACAAAGGCAGAGCTGACAGAAACCCCAGCTCCTCCGGCTCCCCCCTCTCCAAGGCCTTCCCAAGGTCACCGTGTGGGAGGACAGCTTGCAAAGCAGGTGTTTGCAAAAACCCTCGCCAAGGCAACTTGTATTTTTAACTCTGTCAGCCCACGGAAGTCACTGCCGGTCCCGATGCTGCGGTTCAGCCTCAGCAGGCAGGTGGGGGCAGGCTCGGGTGCATGTGTGACCTGCCTCCCCTGAGCATAGCACAGAAAGAACTTTCCAGTCCCTCGGACAAGAAGGTAATGGAGTTGTTTTGCGCAAGTCCAGCAAGGTGGTGCTTGGCCAAATTTGGAAGTGGTTGTGATCTTGGGTTATTCCCTGGTCCGTGATGCACGGTCAACGTGGCTGCCGGATGTTTCCCCCGAGCTTCTCCTACTAGATTTCCATTACGCAGCCCTTTTGTGAAGCTACCAGACTCCTGCGTTTGTGTCAAATTGCTGAATTCTCTGAACATCCAAAGCTGAGTTCTGGTAACTTCTCCCCTTGGTGACACGGCAGCATGGGACTAGATCCGGCTTTCAACCCGACTGCGGGCAGATGGGTGAAGAACAGAAGGGGGCCCTCACCCTGCTGGGTCTCCACCCACCTCCTGCGGCCTTCAAAGCACGACCTCACTTCCTCCAAATGTTTGCCTTAGCACTGATTTCTGCCTATTTCCTTTTAGTCACTGGTGTAATTCTTGATAGAAGACAGGCTGTTGAACAAGCATATCTGTTGATTCGACCACTTGCCTCTTTTAAAACCAATTTCAAAACAAACACACCACTTGCTTCTGACGAGGTGCCCGATCCAGGGACCCAGGGACGTAGCCATACTTGCTCAGGGGCGATGCAGCCACAAAGCCCTTCCTGGGCACCCTCGCCGGTCCGGCGGGTGACAGGAGGGAATGGGAGCCCCCGCCTGCGTCCCCTGCTAGACTGTGGGGAATTAACCTGCCCTTTCTAGAAGCAGGTTTGCACCCACTGCTAGGAAACCCTGGTCACTCCCCAAATGACCGAACGGGCACCCTGGGAGCCGGTGGGAGCCCCAGGTAAACTCTGCAGGCCGCGCTCTGGTGGAAATAAGCCTTAACCCTGCCAATTTCGTGACACCCTCAGTGACTGGGAACAAATTAGCTTTCTTTTGAGCAGCATGGACTGGGCTCATGGTGAATAAATCTCCTTTTAATTAGCTGTTTAGGTAAGCCGGGGCCCAAAACTTCAAAGACGTTAGGCTGGCCCTCAGCCGTCCGAACAGATGAAAACGTTTGATGTGTGCCCACAGTGGCCACCTCTCCCAAACTAAAACTCAGGGCACAGGGGCTGATGGGAAACGGTTTCTAACAACACTTCACAGTAACGAACTGCCTTTGTTGAGAAGCACAAAATCGAAGCAAATTGGGGGAGCCCCAGAAAGTCCAGGCCGACGGTGGCCACGCCAGCCATCCCGCTGCTCAAAGGCACCGTGGGGGGCGGGGAAGGGGAGGGTGCGTGCCTCTGCGAGGCTGCAGGGGGTCACCGGGCCGAGATGCTTCTGGGAGAGTGCCAGATTCCAGCACACCAGGCCATGCCAGGGACTTGAGACCGTCTCCGAGGGCAGCCGGGAAAGCCAAGGACGTGAGCAAGACGGTCCCTAGGGGCAGCAGTGAGATGAGGCAGCTCACGTCCCACTCCTGCTCCAGGAAACACAGTTCAGGGTCCCACCAGGTGGCTGGTACCCTGAGGGCAGGAAGCCAGGCCTCTGCCTTCCCCGCAGACCTACCGCTTAGGAAATGTCAAAACACTTGTTGAGTAAGCGCTAGTCTAAACAGCCGAGCTCTGGAAGTGACTTCAGACCGCTCTCTACTTCCCCACGGCTGGGGCCATGTGGCCTCCCTGCCATCCGCCAGGGCCCGGGAAGGAGAGAGGAGGCCGCGGCTCGCACCGCAGGCCAGCACCCCTCAGGCCCCGGGTCCGGGGCCCCAGGTGGCCCAGTTATGCCCTTACTGCCTCACCTCCAAGAGGCGTCTGCTCTCACCTCCAAGGTCCTAAGCGTCACCAGAAGGATGCGCGCGCTTCCCAAACCGCCACCGCCATGGTGTGCCAGCCTCGGGACTCCTGCCCTGCACACGGTGCTCCGTCCACACAGTCCCCCTCCACCCTGCCTCACTGCTCGGTTTCAACTTTTCACTTAAATGCCGACATTCAGCTCCTCCTCGGCAATATACCTGCTTACGTCTGCAGGAACAGCCCCGGAAAGATGTCAAAGAAACAGGCTGACCTGACTGCCTCGGGGAAGGGCAAGCCGGGGCCCGCCGGCACGGGAGAAGGGCCGTGTGCTGTGCCTTCCTGCGCCTTTTCAATTCTGAACCCCCGTGCACAGGTGTTAGCTAAAACACGCTTAGTAACAAAGCTCCGGAAGTGCGAGAAGGCCAATAACGGCAGTTCTCAGTTCCCGGAACTTTCTTGGAAGGCTGGAAAGGGACCTCCCAGTGAGTGTGGACAGCAGGAGCCACGCAAGGGGGCCCGGGACGCCGCCAGCGATGAGCGATCACAGCAACGGCCTTGCTGGCCCCACCAAGCACCAACCGGGAGCGTTCAGCCCGTGCCGGCCTCTGCTGACCCACCGGCCATAGCCACCAACCGGATGGACAACCTTCATCACCCCGCCCCCAGTGCAGCTCACCCCTGAGTCAGAAGGTGACCTTGGAGCTGTGGGAGCCACTCACCGGGGACAGTCCCCTCCCCTACTGCCACCACCACTGGGGACTGCCACATGCCGGCCTGGGAGGGTATGGATGCACCCAGCCCGACCTCGGCAGCCAGGCCCGGAGTCCAGTGCCCCGGGTACCGTTGGCGGGCTTGGGCACATCACCGCAGGTCCCCCTTATCTCCTCTGGCCTAGATGCTCAGTCACAATACCAAGGAAACCACACCGCCTGCGTCCCGGCCACCACGGCACGAGGAGCTGCCTCGTCTTGCTAATTACCGCCTGGCACTCATGCAAAGGAGCAAACCTTGCACCCAAAATACACCAGGAAAGGTCTGGGGAAAAAAACCCCAACACTCCCCTTTTCCAAACCAGCCTTTGAAAATCAGCTGTCCTGTTCAGCCTCGTGCCACCAGGCGGCCAGGCCACCGAGTGGACGTGGGGAACAGACAGGAGCCATGTTCATTAACAAACCAACCGTCTTCTTTTTTATTAGAGATAAAAACAGAATAGTCCCACATACCACACCCTCGGGAAAACAGGACGGCAGAGGGGGGCTATTTACAAGAGCTGCAGCAGGACACCGGTGGCCTCGGGCCCCGAGGGCGGCTGCGGACCCCGGAGCGGCTTCCGGGGGGGCGGGGATGCCTGCAGGTCAGTGGCAAAGGGCGATGGTTTCCATATTGAGGAAGCGGACGTGCATCTTGGTCTCGATGTCTATTCCCTGCCAGATCTGGAACGGACAGAGCAGCAGCACTGAGCGCACGTCCCTGCCACCACCGCCACCGGGCCCACGTCCCCGCCCGGTCCCCGCCCTCCCCTCCACCAGGACAGGTGACAACCAGAGGGCCGGTTTCAAGGCTGTGAGCCAAGCGAGGAAAAGAAACTTCCACCTGCCTTTCTGCGGGTTAATTTGGCTCTGACGTGTGGATCCTTTCTGACGCCGTCACAGCAAGTTGTTATTAAGTGCTGAATCCAAGCTCTTCGCTCCAAGTCATTCCCGTCCCACCCACCACACTTCAGGCTCTGTGATTTTCATGCAAGTTCCTTAACCCCAGTAAACCTCTTCATCAGCACCATGCCGGGACCACCACCTGCACTGCCCACATTAAGTCACGCGATGTCGGGGGCTCAGAGGGGATCATCCGTGGAAACATTCTGTAAACTATTAAGCGCTGTGCGTTAGTCGCACCGTTTCATTAAGCCATCCTCTCTAATTAAAAGGTCACGACAGTCTGGTCTTTATAGCCTCCCTGGGATAAGCCACCTCGGTTCTACGAAGACAAGCTCGTGCCCGGGAAGGGCAAAGATGTCCACAGGCACGTACCTGGCACGGGTTCTGTCGTGACAGTCCACCCTGGCCACGGCCCCGGGGGACATCTGACCCGAACTGCCATGCTACGAGCCCCCCCACTCCCAGGACTGCGCTTGCCAGCTCTTTGGCCACTCGGTGGTGGGGGGGGTGGGGGGCGGCCCAAGAGGGCCGCAGACGGAGAAACGGCCAGACCTGGCTCGGCCTCCCGGCTTGTGAGAACTTCTAACACTCAAGCTGTCGCCTGCAGCATCTCCAGGGCCTGCCACCAGGCTGCAGTCAGAGTCCTGCCGGCACCCAAGCTGCTTCCTGGGATCCTGCACCTGTTCTTGGTGTGGTGCCGGGAGGGGGCAGAGAAAACAGACCCGGTTCCTGGGGAAGGTAGTGGGGTACCCGGGGTGCTTTCTGCTAAATGCCAGGTGGGAAGAGGGTCACCGGCAAGGCCCAGGGGAGGGGAGGGGCCGGCCGGTCAGGAAGGGCCCCCACGGGGTGGGGACAGGCTTGGGGAACACTGGAGGCCTCGGGTGGGGGGCAGGGGGGAGACTTCCGGGGAAGAAGCTGGGTCTCACAGGCTCTTCGCCCTGCCCAGCCCCGGCGGGTGCAAGGTGGAAGAGGCTGCCCACCCCCTTCCTGCAGAGCTGGCGGCTGACTGGCCAGGTTAGCAGCACAGCCCGGGCAGAGTGCCCATCGAGCTGCCCCTGGGCTCCACGGGGCTGTGACCGCCCAAGTCCCGGCCCGGCTCCAGGCCCGGGCCCATCAGCGCCCTCAGGCGGGTCAGAGGCTGGCGCGGCAGGCTGGACTGGGACCTCTGGATCGAGTTCCCCTGACCTCCTGTCCTAATCCCAGAATGAGCCTGGTGGCCCGCTGTCGGAGCACTCGGCACCAGGCACAGGGCAGGCGGGTTCATCTCCCTCCGCCGCCGGGCACCTGCCAGTCCGAGCAGTGAGGGGGTCCCCAGTTCCCAACCTCGGAGCACGTTTGTGACGGCAGGGGCCTGGTGTCCACCCGTGGGGGCTGGGAGAATGGGCAGCTATGTCCAAGGCACGGGAGAAGCGAGGGGCTAAACCCCACACCGCTGACTCCACTATGTGACTCGCAGGCATAGAACATTCCAGAACCCGGTTCCAACTGTCAGCAGTGACGCTTCTGACATGGGAACCGGGGACTTGTGGGGGAGAAGCAGTATCGTTGCGGCCCTTTCGTGTGGCTCCAGTCGCTCTGACCACGTGTGACTACTGCCCTCCGATAAAAATAAGTACAGCCGTGCATGCCCCCTCTCCACAGAGGTGCCAGTGTCCTCCTGCCCAGCGGGCAGGAACCCCCCTCAGCCCCCACCTCTGCTCCTAGACACCCACCTTCAGGAAGTCGTCGAAGGTGATCCCCTCGTACACCTGGTCAGGCTCCTGGGGACAGAGCACACGCAGAGTGAGCGGCCTCCCGGGAGACCCCCATCCCCCCCCCCC